GGGCTCAGAAACCTATACCCCAAATACAGCACTTTGACAAGCTGGACTAAAGAAGCAACCTTGACTGGCTGCTGTGGTTCACGCCTGTAATCCCAGCACTTTTGGGAGGCTGAGGCAGGCAGATCGCTTGAGGCCGAGAATTTGAGACCAGCCTATACAACATAGTGAAACCCCATCTCTACTAAAAATACAAAAATTAGCCAGGTGTGTTGGCACATACCTGTAATCCTAGCTATTTGGGAGGCTGAGGCATGAAAATTGCTTGAACCCATGTGGCAGAGGCTGCAATGAGCCAAGATCATGCCACTGCACCCCAGCCTAGGCAACTGAGTGAGACTCTGTCTCAAAAAAAAAAAAAAAAAAAATACAGCAACTTCAAGGTATATCTGATCTTCCCCCTCATACACACACCTGTCTCTCAATCCTGTCTGTCCCAAAGCACAGGATGAAGCTGTCTGTCCTCTAAAGTCTGGACCTTCCTTATCTGCCAAAAGTATGGACCCACCAAAGAAGAAAACAATTATCTCTGGTTCCTTCCAGGTGTGGCCATTAACTGAACTCAGGTCACAGGAAGAAAGACTGAAGTCTGTCAACACACCTGACAGATGTTTGCCACCAACCATTGTCTTTCAGCCCCATTTAGTTTTTCAGAGAGAATCATTTACCAGCTGCTGTCTGCTCTGCATGTCCAACAGACTTTGTCCCAGGCCACCGTATGTTCTCCAAGTCCATTCATTTCCCCAAAACTTCATTTACTATCCCTCAAATTGCCACATTCGCCCCAGCTCCTCTTCCCCTATGAAGAAGGGTATACCTCGTTTATACATCTGCACCTCACTGGATTACTGGGTAATCAATCTCATGCGATTCTCCTGTGCCTTTGAACATTAAAATAAATTTTGTAGGCCTTCTCCTACTAATCTGCCTTTTGTCAGTTGATTTCTCAGTGAAACTTCAGATGGCGAAGGGGATGTTTCCTTTTGGCTGCTACACTCCTAAAGAGAAGGGATACGCCTACCCCTTTCCTTTTTCCTCTTCTTTCTAGCCACAGTGCAGACTGGGTGGCATGAGCCATGATGGGATGAAGAGGAGGTAACACCCAGGAGTCACCCATCAGCCTTAGCCTGCTTACATGCGGAAGTTACATGCAACAGAAATTATTTTCTCTCTTGCTTAAGGCACTATTTTTCCAGCTTCTGTTAAACAACCAAACACGTATCTTACCTAATAAAATAGCTGCCTTGGGGTATGGGAATATGCATAAGAAATTCATGTTTCCTTGTGGGAAATGTGACATGATTCAGGAGAAAGTTATTCCCACAGTGCAGGTATTCCCAAGTAACAGGAGGTGAACATTGTGATGTAGCTACTAAACAGATCTTTTCTTGAGGCTTATCTCTTTTATCAGAGTTGGCAACCTATGGTCCATGGGCCAGATCCAACCAACAGCCTCTGCTTGTAAATAAAGTTTTAGAACACAGCCATGTGCATTCATTTACATATTTTCTGTGGCTGCTTTTCAAGTTACAATGGCATAGCTGAGTAGTTGTGACAGAGACTACATGGCCTACAAAGCCTAAAATAGTTACTACCTGGCCCTTTCCAGAAAGTTCGCTGGCTCCTGTCTTCAAAGATGGCAGCCTTTGCACCCCTGGGAACTCTAACTAACTGATTTCAGATATCACTTTTTCTTTTTTCCATCTGGCAATTTGCTCACATCTATGTATTAATATACTCAATACCCTTCTTTCAGCATATCCAAACATGCTATTTTCTGCTAAAGAACTATTTAAAAATTTTTAATTTAGTAGGAATTTTAATTTCCTACATCTCTCCTTGTAGTTACACTTGGGGACCATAAGGACATTTTGCACACAAAAAAGTGTTATCTCTGCAATTGAATTAGTACATTATAAAGGTGAGTGGGGAAAACAAGTGGGGTGAGACACAGTGTTCGGGCTGTTGACTCTCCTAACTCGCATTCTGGTCTCAAAGCCAGTGAAACCCAAGTTCACACCCTGATCTCCAGTGTCGCTGAGAACAGTGACTTTCTGTCACTGTTAAAGAAAATACCTAGAGCAAGACTGTGTCGCAAGACTGTGTCAAATCCAAGAATGTTATGGGTCTATTTTAGCAGAAATTTTAAGATACTCAGAGCCAATCTGAGTCTTGAAAGGTGAATTTGACTTGAAAAGAATTTTAAATGGAAAGAAAAAGTAAGACACTGATAAAGAATATGATGCATTCATCCTAGTAACAGTCATTAACCAAAGGGAAAAGCAAATGATTTTGTTTCTAAATGTAAATTTAAAGCCATGCCTATCAGAAAAGTGGGCTTTCAACTAACTGAAAAAATTGCACTGTTGGTTCTAAAACTGCTATACTCCTGAATTTATTCATTCAATATATTTTTAACAAGAAAAATTAAGAAGACTCAAGCCATTAAGAAGTGATAAAGACTATGGAAAGCTATTGATCAAAATTAAGACAAGACAGAGAAACTCAATTGATACATGTGCATAAATCTACACATGAAAGAGAAGTTGTGCCTTTCTTTTTAAAAATAATTTATAAATTACATTCGTTTTAAATATCCATCAACTATAATATGCCTGTCTTAATATCTGTGAGATTCCACAATCTAATAAAAAAAATTTATGTTAAGAAAAATCTAACATTGCTGGGAGTATGTTTTAAAACTATATACAGTTGTGTATATATTTAGAACATGTACTAATTTTATTATACTTATATTCTAGAGCTGTGCTATCTAGTATGGTAACCACTAATCACATGTGGTTTCAAGGGCTATTTAGCCCTTGAAATGCAGCCAGTCAGAATTGAGATCATATAAAATGCTCTCGAGATCCTGAAGACTTAGTGTGATACGAAAGAATGTCAAATATTACATTTTGATTACATGTTGTGATGATAATGCTTTAGATACACTGGATTAAATAAAATATACTATTCAAATCAACATATCCTTTTTTAGCTTTTTAAACATAGTGGCTAGAAGATCTTAAATTATAAATGAGGCCCATATTATATTTCTATTGGACAGTACTGGCCTAGAGCACTGGTCCTCAAGCCCTAGGTCATGGATCAGTATTGGTCTGTAGCTTATTAGGAACTGGGCTGCACAGCAGGAGGTGAGCGGTGAGCAAGCGAGTTAAGCTTCATCTGTATTTACAGCTACTCCCCATCACTCACATCACCCGAGCTCCGCCTCCTGTCAGACCAGTGGTGGCATTAGATTCTCAGAGGAGCATGAACCCTATTGTGAACGGCTCATGTGAGGGATCTAGGTTGCATGCTCCTTATGAAAATCTAATGCCTGATGATCTGTCACTGTCTCCCATCACCCTCAGATGGCACCATCTAGTTGCAGGAAAACAGACTCAGGGGCTTTCACTGATTCTACATTATGGTGATTTGTATAATTATTTCATTGTATATTACAGTGTAATGATAGAAATAAAGTGCACAATGAATGTAATGCACTTGAATCATCCCCAATCCAAACCCCAACTCCAGACCGTGGAAAAATTGTCTTCCACGAAACCGCTGGTCCAAAAAGTTGGGGACTGCTAGTTTAGAGTATCTAAGAGTACTTTCTTCCGCAGAGGTAATTATCAGCTTTGAACTTCTGAGAAACCTACCACCATGATACCAGTAACCAATAAATGTAAATTTTATGTTGGATATTTCAATGAAACTAAAAAAGCATTTTGTCTAATCTCAAAACATGGATTATAGTTTTAAGACTCTATTTAGAAATAAGAAAATAAAATGTTGAACTTACATTTTTCTCCTTACTTTTCTCATTTTAATTTTATCGATTTCAAAGAGAAGATTTTGTTTGGATGGAAAGCAAGATGTGGTCTCAGTTATAAGTAAGAGGAGGGAAAGAGACCAAAAATAGAACTGACAAGAGAATGTTGCCAGATAAGGAACAATAACTACACTTGCAATAAAATTCCACCAAAAATAACCTCTGTGAAGAACAAAAATGGAATACCTGAAATTATTTCTTTAAATGAAAACTTCTTCAGTGCTGCATTTTTACAATCAGCCTAGGGTACTAACATGGTATAGGATTAGATGAGGGAATGGCTTCTACAGAAAAAACACTTATTACTTCCTAATATTCTTCACTGATATGCTCTCTACAAATAAGACAATCTTACCCAGTGAATTTTTTAAATTGGTACATCATAATTGTACATATTTGTGGGGTACAATTGAATGTTTTGATACATGTGTATGTTGTATAATAATCAAATAAGGGTACTTAGCATACCCATCATCCCATAGATTTGTATTTTATTTGTAGTGAGTTAGTCTATGAACTCCAAAACATCATATTACAAAGCGCTTTTCTTCTTGAAACAGTTCTAAAATCCTAACTTGCTTTTCTGGCCATTTAAATTTACTTTAATGAACTATCTATTCAACCAATCACCATTATTGTAAGTTCTTCCACAGAACAGAAGGGCATGTGCTGACTGACAGTACTCATCCACCTCCCGGTCTATTGTTTTGAATGATTTACTCACAAGAGAAATATTTCACCCTGCAGAAAGGTGGAATATCTGAATCCACCTTTCAATCCTCCTAAGACCCACTTGAAAGTTATCTCCTACTGCTCTTTCAACATCACCTGTCAAGAATAAAAGTGTTGTGTCACTCAATCCATTGTTTTGGACCTTGAAACCAGTGAAAGATGCTTGTTTTAATGGGTCAGCATGGTGGCTCACACCTGTAATCCCAGCACGTTGGGAGGCCAAGGTAAGTGGATTGCTTGAGCCTGGAGGTTGAGACATGCCTGGGCAACACAGTGAGATCCCATCTATACAAAAAGTCTAAAAATCAGCCAGGCATCATGGCACACACCTGTAGTCCCAGCTACACAAGAGGCTGAAGCAGGAGGATCACTGGGGTCCAGGAGGTCGACGCTGCAGTGAGCTATCATGGTGCCACTGCACTCCAGCCTGGGCAACAGAGTAAGACCTCGTCTCTTAAAAAAATAAACCAATCTTGTTTTCACTTCCAAGATGTCAGGAGAAGAAAATTAACCTAAGTACTCAGTTATAGAAATGCCTGTGTGATCATTTCTGAAGACCAGTTGCTATTGAGGTCAACAGGAAGACATAAAGTCTGTTTCTTCTGTTTCTAATTTACAGGTGAAGGAGTACTTCACTTGCCCCTGCACCTCAAAAACAAACAAACCCAAACAAAGAAAACCCCCAAAATGCTTTCCTTTTTCTTTTTAAATTAATGAAAGACCAAAGGCAAAAAGAAGCTGTGTTAAATGTTCAGAACATGGTATTTTTCTTTAAAAGGACTTGTGATCCTAGGAATAACAGCCCTACCTCCAACTTAACAAACCTGCAGCAAGATCTTGCAGCTATACCTCACCTAGAGTTGCAGAAAGGGTATTCACAGGAGCATTTAGTATTTGGACTGATGGAAATAAGAAGAGTTTGTGCAGGGGGAAAAGAAACTTGAAAAAGACTAGAGAGAGAGAGAAAGAGAGAAAGGACAGGGTGGCTTCTATTCTCAATCAGCCTCTGGGACTAGGTCTAATCTTCCCCAGAAAGGAATGAGATAGGCCATTTTGGTGAGGAAACTTACGAGACTGTATTCAAGCTTGAGAGTCTAACGGACAGGATGTGACTCCAGAGTCCAGAGGTATGGCCAGGTGCTGGATGTGATGAAGCAAACCAGGGCAGGCTGGCATGGCACTGGTGGTGGACCCTTCACCGGGGTAGCTGAGGAAGTGAGTGTCCATATGAAAGACACTCTGTTCACCTATGTCCTTGATGGTATCATGCTCTCGCTTTCATCATCTTCCTCACTGCTGCCATCACAGTCTTCACAACCTCAATGTCAATGTGTTGCCTTAAAAAAAAAAAAACAAAAACAAAAAAAAAACTCCTAATGAAAACGTTTTTGGAGGATATGGCCAGTGGAATCATGGCTTGCATCACAACGTCTGTGCAGCAATGGTGAGCTGTGGGCCAAGGATGGACACCAGCAAGGAAGCACATGGCCACTCTCCCAACGCAGCAAAGTTCTCACAATGGGTGCCAGCTGCAGCCACTGTGGCCAGCTGCCTCCCTCCTGTGGATGGACAGCTGACGTGGACAGATAGGAAAAGATCAGAGGACTTGATTGAGGGCACATGTGAGACAGAGCTTTAGGAGAGACTGAGGTCCGACCAACGTGTTCATGTGGCCTCCTAGTTCAAACTCCAAGCCTGCAGAGGCCTCTGTGCTTTCAGATCACATGCAACTTTTCTACCAGAGAAGGAAGTATGAGTCAAGTCAGAATCCCCAATCCCAGGAGTGATATTATTACTATATATTTGGAACAATAAGCACAGAGAATCATATTTCAGACTGGAATTTTCCATTTGAACAGGTGTTTCAATATTTATCTCATACTACTCAATAGGTAGACTCAAGAACATGATAGTAAATATTTTTTGAAAATTGAATTATGTTTTACATTTCTCTAAGAAAGATCATGTGAAGGCCACAGCTCCATCTTAGATGCTAATTCACCATGTTAATTTCTGGTTATTCCCCATTCCAGGAAACTCTCTAAGATTTCTACTTTATCTACTGTTACTGTAAATCCTGCCCTTAGGCAGATACCTATAGCATTCTTGCCTTTCCCTACAATTGTCCTACACATTCCTTCCCTATGGTATATGAGTCCTGGGTCTGAGGGGGTGATAGTGTAGAGATCCACCATCTTTCCTGACAGCTATCCAAGACTAGGGCTTCTGTTGGTAAGTCCCTATTGTAATATTTACGTTTCTTTCTGATATACTGGATTTGTCAGCCTCTTTCTTCTGCCCCTCAGGTTCCTTGCCTTTTGAGGGTAGGTTTGCAAAGATCTGTTCACCACAGAACAGATCATATAGAAAGGAATCCATAATAACAGCCCTGGTTAAAATATCACCCACTAAATGCAATTGTTTTCTACAACTGGATTTTTACATCCTATTTTCTAGAAATGGAATTCTACTTTTTTTTTTCCTTTTTTTTTTTTTTGAGACTTTGTCTCGCTGTGTCACCCAGGTCGGAGTGCAGTGGTGTGATGTCAGCTCACTGCAACCTCTGCCTCCTGGGTTCAGTAATTTTCTGGCCTCAGCCTTCTGAGCAGCTGGGACTACAGGCGCCCACTACCATGCCCGGCTTATTTTTGTGTTTTTAGTAGAGACGGGGTTTCACCATATTGGCCAGGCTGGTCTTGAACTCCCGACATTGTGATGTACCCACCTTGGCCACCCAAAGTGCTGGGATTACAGGTGTGACCCACAGCAACTGGCCAATTCAACATATTTTTATTGAGCACTTAACATGTGCTGTGCTTTGAGTTAGTTGCTAGGGACTCAAAGATGAATAAAACACAGTTCTTGTCTTCATAGTGGCAAAGGATTGTCAGAGAAGATAGATATGAGGTCCTGAGGGAAGTATCAGCATCCAGGAAGAAGTGATTAACTCAGGACTGACGGGGAGAAGTGAAGACAACATTATGGCATTGAAGCTGAAGCTTAAAAAATATTTGAGATTATACCAAGGTGCAGTGCCACATGTCTGTGGTCCCAGCTGCTTGGAAGTCTGAGGAAGGAGAATCTCTTGAGACCAGGAGTTAGGGGATGCAGTGAGCTATGATCATGCCTGTGAATAGCCAGCACTTCAGCCTAGTCAACATAGTTAGACCCCATCGCCAAAAAATATATATACCAGGTAGTTAAGCAAGGGAGGGGTATTCCAAACATAAAAAAAAATATGTATCTGGGGGAAGCTAGATGAAGAGTACACTAGGATCTCTCTATATCATTTGTTCAATATCCTGTGAACCTATAATTATTTCAAAAGTAAATTAAGGAAAAAAGAACACATGCCAGTGTTCATACATATGAACATGCTTGATTTTTAGGAGAAATGACAATCCTGGATGAAGGATTGGGATAGGAGGTGTATTAGTCCATTCTCACACTGCTATAAAGAACTGCCCTAAACTGGGTAATTTATAAACAAAAGATGTTTAATTGACTCACAGTTCCACATGGCTTGGGAGGCCTCAGGAAACTTACAATCATAGCAGAAGGGGAAGCAGGTCTGTTCTTTACAAGGCGGCTAGAGAGAGAGAGGAGCATGTGGAGGAGGAGTTGTCAAACACCTATAAAACCATCAGATCTCATGAGAACTCATTATCATGAGAACAGCACGGGGAAACTGCCCGCATGATTCAGTCACCACTCACCATGTCTCTCCCTCAACACATGGGGATTATGGGGATTACAATTCAAAATGAGATTTGGGTGGGTACACAAAGCCTAACCATATCAGGAAAATACTGGACAGGGAATCAGGAATCAGATTGTATTGGAGAAAAATAGCTGGCAGCAAGTGGAAGAGTCTTTGAACATATAAACTAATTAATATATTATTTTAATAGCTCCAAAAAGAAATTATGAAAACCTGGGACTACATCTGTGGCAGCGGTAAAGGAGAGAAGATAAAAGGCTGAAGAAAAGAGCAACAGGCGTTAGTGATTCTGATAAAGAGGAAACAAGCAAAGGTAACTTTATGATTGGGGGAAAATTCACACTATTCATCATTATAGAGAATAACCAAAAAGTCTTTTAGCGTGAAAGACAGTAAATTCAGTTTGGAACTATTGAAATTAAGGCCAACATCATGTAGAACATGGGTTGGAATTCAAGAATAAGGTCTTATATATGTACATTTTCTGTACTGTTTAAGAATATTCAATTCTGCTATAGAAGACAAGAAAAGAAACAGGATGGACTGAATTTGTAATAATTGTTAGGCATATTTAACAAAAGTTATAAGAAATATGTGAAACTCAGAGAATGTGTTAAGTATAGATAATGGGTAAGCAAGTAACTTGTGAGACATTGGTAAAATTAATGTGGCAAGTTATATATAGACATAGTAACGTGTAAGGCCTGCCAATCATTGATCAATAGAATAAACCAAAATTATAAGGGTGCATAAAGGAGTTTTGTTTAAGACAAAATAGAAATAGATGGAAAAACCAAATCATGGTACCTCTAGGATGACAGCTATGTCACCCTCAAATTCAGCCACCTATTGATGATACCCACTACGGTCTCATTCTGGCCTATATGTACTTGTGTAGAACAAGCATGTATCATTGGATCAGGACTCCTTTTGTCTGTGAACCTGTAACTCAAACCTCACCTCTGGTTCTCATAATCACATTATTGACAAGGAAGGCTGACATTCATTTTTTATCCATTTTCTCAGCATTGGCAAGTAAGAGAAAGAAAGAAGATATACGAACATTATGATACCCAGGACTCAAGTATTGTGTTCCTTTGTCCACTTAGACCCTAATCTAAGAATGTTAACTTACCCCATCTCCTTACCCTTGACTCTCTTTGTGTATTTCAAATTGATTCAGTAAACTATATGATACAAGTATCTTAATTGGCCCCTAAACCTTTCTGCTCTTTGATCTCTGAGATAACGTGCTTCATAGTACACTTAGAAGCTACCATTGCCTCAAGGTGATTCCCTGCATGATTGGTCTGGTCTGGAGGACTATAATCATTCAGGTATTTGAGGATCAGATAGCCTAACTAGACCCCAATTACTTTTTAACACAGTAAATTTAATGTATATAAGTTTCCAACAAATGTAAAACCCCATAAGACAAAATCAAGCCTCTACCTTCAAAATACTAGAAGTTACCTCTTTGTATATGCTTCTGAAAATTTATGATATAAATTTTGCCTTTGAGGGCAAAAACCATACCCTATTTATCTTTGTATCTCCATACCTAGCTGAACACCTGTAATAGTGCACTCATTGTATTTTTGTTGAATTAAAAAATAAGCTTCAGTGCATTTTCGAAATGCATATATTTACATAATAATATTTATATGCTGACTCTGACAAAGCTCATTATTAGATTGAATAACCAAATTTATTTAAAATTGTACGGATTAAACCATTCATCCAGACAGAGATTGTTGTGGAAAAAAACTGAATTCCTCCTGGACAGGATGACAGAATGAAAATGACTTAAATGACACATTGGTTCAAGACCCCAGGATCAATGAACCTCAGTTTGGTTTTCAGCAGATTATGACAACGATCCCAAATTCTCTATTCATTGTCAAAGTAAGTTAGCAAGCAGATGTGATGCTGTGTAAATGTGGAAAAGTAAATCCATGTCACACATGCTGTGTTTGTTCAGGAACAGCGGAGCAGATAAGTGATGTGAGTGTCTAGGTAAAGTCAAGCCCCAGCACATGAGAAAAACAGAGAGAAAACAAAATGAGAGTCTTTTTGTTTCTTCATCTGGGAAGATGTTGAAGTCTGAGACATGTTAGATACATTATGGTTTGTTCAGACAACAAAATATTTTCAGTTGTTTAAAAGATGAAAAACAACTTATGAACTGATTTAGAACAATCTATCAGATACATTGCCAAGCAAAAAAATAATAAGGTGAGAAGCAGACTGTAGGTCCTGCTAATATTTTGTGCATAAGGTTTTCTGGAAGAATACACAGTATGTTGATTACACTCATTAGAGTGGTTGACTTTAGGAAGGAAAACTGGGTTGGATAAGATATGGTAGAAAGCAAACTAGTTTTTTGATTTTGCATATGTTTTAAATTTTTTATAATTTTTCAAGCATTATGGTGTCAAAAAGGCAAAATGGAGTAAAATAAGTAAAAGAATTTTTAAAATTTAAAGTCACTTTTTTTCTAAAATGTTCTTTCATCAGGGTATGTAAAACTCAGTGCAGTAAACAAACGTATTTCCACACGTTTATGTCCATAGCACATTGCGCATTGGAGGGTTTTTAATTTACTATCTATTAAGCCTCCCAAAACAGGATAAGAGATTACCATTTCTGATTATGTTGCGCATAAGGTTATATATTTAGAGTGCTTTTCTCTTGATTTAATAAATATGCCACATAGTCCATTAACTCACTAAGCCCTATTCAACTCCAAAGTTTCCAATATACCTGATTTCACAAATGAAAAAATGTAAAAAAATAAAAACCTTGACTCACAAAAACAATATAGAGAAGAAAATAAAAGACATGCACCTTGGTTTTCTCATCTATAAAATGGGAATGATAAAAGTATTTAGCCTGACAATAATGTACATGTAAAATTCATAATAAATGGTAGTTGTAACTAATGTAACTTAAAGGTCACATGAAGAGATGCTTGTTCTGTGTAAGTATTTATGTCCAGAAAACATAAGCTTATTGTTTCATTTAAATAAAACTGTAAATGCCTAATGATGCTTGGTGATGGCTATTATCTTCCTATCACAGCTTGGCAAGGATCTCTCCCAAATATCTATGATTACCCATTTGAGTTGGTAATGGCCCATCTCCCAGCATATTCACAATTAGCTGCTTCAATGGCATTGGTAAACAAAATAACCAAATTGTTGTTCAAATTCCTTACACATTGTAAAGTTCATGGAAAATGTCTTTTTAAATGTAGATTTCTTATTTAAAAAAAAGAAAAAGAGGTATACTATATATTGACCTCTGAGTGATGAAGAAGTTGAATTAAGATCATGAAGATGCTAAGAATGCACATTTGGAAGAGAGATAATTAAGTTTATCTTCCTAAAGACAGATATAAAGACAAGTTTAAAAACAATTCATTCTGATTTGTTAAATTGACCAGGTAACCATCCTGTAGTCTATTTTTATTGCCTTTGTAAACACAGATAGGGCATCATTTATCTGGAGCTTTAGGGAAGAATCATGTTGGTGTCTTAAACCTTCTAAAGAGGTTTATATTTAAAGGACTAGTCCTTGAGAATAAAGATAAACCAGGCTAAATCACGTTTGGGTATACATGCCGTCCACCAGCAATTACCTGATTGATTTTTTAGTTATGCCTGCAACACAAACTAATTTCTTTGAAAATGAACAGCCATGGTGTTCCATAAACATTCTGATCTATTATCCTACCAGGGAGGAAAAAACAGGCAGACCTAAGAAAGTAGTGGAGATACACAATTATTAGACAAAAAAGATAATGTGTAGCCTTGAGCACAGGAGGATCAGTCATGGAAGAACAACGACCCTGCAAGTTCAGACCTGGTCCAGTCCTACCTCTTCCAGTCCCGCAGTGATGTCTACCCTCAACCAGTTAAACATCTCATCACCACCATGAAGGGAGAAGTGCATCAAGAGCCACTCGCTACCTGTCAGTGACCACTCAGAAGTTTGGGGCAACAGGGAGAGAAAGAGAAACAAAGGCAGAATGCCTGTACACGTCTCTGTGAGTCTGTGTATACAAAAGGAGAACCGAAAGGGGAAAGAGAGGGAGGAAGGATCAGAGAAACCTTGAGGAGCCTGGAAGATGGACCATTTTTGGAGGAGACTTGTGTTCTATGACTCAGACAGGGGAGGAATCAGGATGATTTTCAAAGGTATTATTTCTGAGACTTAGCTTATGTTCAGTCTACTGAATTCCATGGCTGGAGCAAACAAACAATGAAATCGGCTCAGGATAACAATGAAATGGTAACACAAATGCATGGTTTTGTTTGTTTGTTTGTTTGTTTTAAAAAAGAAAATTCATCAATCTCATCAAGGCGCCTGGAGCCTGAAAAGGAAGAAGAGAACATATATGTTTGAAATGAGGAAAATCATGCACAACCATTCCTAGGACACCATTCACTAAGTGTCAGGAACTAGACGCATTCCTGAGCTCCTAATATTGAGTGGGTACAATCTCATGACATGAGGGTGGAGAAGCGATTCTGATTTCCAGTGCATAATGGGGTGTCAGGAGTCCTTAGAAAGCAGATTCTTGCTTACAAAAAAAATCGAATTTTGGTTTATGTCTGCTAAGAACTTACCTAGCTCCTAACCACTGAAATGAAAAGGTGTATTTTGAAGTTATTTCTGAGAGTGGAAAAAGAAATGCTCCACTTTTGAGCCTTAAAATCATTTTAGGGCAGTAAAGGCCATCTACTTTAACAAAAGCAACCGCGTCCAACTATATCATTTATATTGAGTGGTGAAAATCATTGTAGGATCCACTATAGCATATCAGAATTACAAAGACTAAAACAAAACAAAACGTTTGCTCTTTTTACCTCAACTCAGAAATTGCTGAAATTCATAACCATATTAGGAGAAAATAAACAGAATGGGCAAACTTTTCTCACAGGCAAAAGAGCCTTAAATTTACTCTGATTTTTAATTTCATTTAACATGTATTGCTATACTAAGGAAGCCCCTTCTGCATAAATAATAATCAGAAAAAGAGAAGGTCTTTGAAATGGGAGAGGACAGTCTAATGTTTTCACTGGTATATGCAACCACAAGTCCAGTTGTAAATATTTTCAGTGCTGTCTAGCCTGGAAAGGGGAGAATTATGTACTGGAATATGCAAGAGAAGGCTGGAAGTCCTTATGCAGATGCAAGTTGATTAAAATTAGCACTTCATGAAATTGCTTCTTTTTTTTTAGATGAAAAGTGATTCTAAGTGGGACACAGCTATAAAAGTAAAAAGTCCTCATTTTTCAATCTGTGCTAAAGGTTCTTTCCATGAGTGACCTTATTTGGTGCTTTAACATGAGATTATAATATGCAAGAACTTTTAAAGTCATTTTTCCTTTTTCTTGTTTCGGGTGTTATGAAAAACCACCACGATTATCTGGAGGCAGAGTAAGTAGCATGGTAGAAGGAGGATTCAGACCTCAAGCCTAGGACGAATAAATGCCACATAACTTTGGACAAACTACTTAACTTTGTAGCTATGGATTCTCCTTTACGTTTCCCTCATAAAGTGGCTGAGAGGAGTAGGTGAGAGCACTCCTGCTGAGCACCTTCTCAGTGTCTGGCACCATCCACATGGCTGTCAGTAGCTCTTACTATCATTATCAGTGTCCGTAAGTGGTGTCAGATTCAGTGCCAATGCTGCTACTCTTGGGGAGGAAAAGAAATTCTATCTTCTACTCATCTTAGGTTCTCCAACTGGTACCCTGCAAATTAGATTGACAATGAAATAGCAAGAGAAAAACAAACAGAGTTTAACATGAGCATCTTGCATATACATGGGAATACTCAGTGATGAGTAATTCAATAAAGGTGGTTAAGACTTGGGTGTATATAGTATCACAACAAATAAACAATAAATTTTAGAGAGACAAAGGAAAAAGACTGAATTTCTAGTGTAAGCTGGGCCTGATGGCTCATGCCTGTATCCTAGCACTTTGGGAGACTGAGGATGGAGAATCGCTTGATCCCAGGAGTTCAAGATCAGCATAGGCAACATAGAGAGACTTCATCTCTATTAAAAAAAAAAAAAAAAAACTAGGGCAACAAACTATAGGAAGGTAAATATATGAGGGAAGCTAATGGAAGATAAAGGCTAGTTAGTAAGGTTTGTTATGTAGATTCCCTGTGCAGTCAAACATCTGAAAGCTGACAAGCATCTAGAGTTGTCTCTGGTGATTAACTTCCTCCTTGGTAGAGAGGAGAAGGGAGACACCTGTACAAATTTACATCTTGCTTTTAGGAAAACTGGGGGAAGGCAGGGAGCTTTTCTTGTATCTGTTTCTTCTCAATTGCTTTCAGCTCAAAATAATCCTATGCCAAAGTGATATATTTGAGGGTGGCACATTCCTCCGTCCTTCATTATTCAATTCTGCAAACTTTGGTTGCACAACTGTGATATGCCAAATGCTACACAGGTGCCTACGAGGAGTTTATAATCTTGTAAGTACACAAATAACTTGAGTCCATTTGATTTGGGGGAAAAAAAAAAAAAAAGAGGGAGGAGAAAAGAGGTTAATGTCAATTGAAATTGAAAATCCCCTTGGATTGCTGACTCAGATCCACTACTACCATGACACTGCAGAGGCTGCAACCTGGTGCTTCTGAAAATTATACTGAAAGATACAAAGGGCCCGTTTTTGTTGTTGTTGTTGATTCAGTTTGCTCTGTTGCCCAGGCTGGAGTGCAGTGGTGCCATCTCAGCTCACGGCAACCTCCGCCTCCCACCTTCAAGTAACTCTCTTGCCTCAGACTCCCTAGTAGCTGGGATTACAGGTGTGTGCCACCACACCCAACTAATGTTTGTATTTTAGTAGAGACGGGGTTTTACCGTGTTGGCCAGACCGGTCTTGAACTCCCAACCTCAGGCGATCCACCCACCTCGGCCTCCCAAATTGCTGGGAGTACAGGCATGAGACACTGCACCCAGCTATTTTAAGACTACTTTGTTCCATTAGTATTTCTAAGATAATATGCTCTTCTGAGAGATCTTTCTCGAGTTATCAAACTAATTGGTTCACTACCCTACCAGTGTTGCCAATTACACCCAAGTATCTCCCATCATGTACTTGGGTTGCTTCTATTCAAGCCCTCAGTGCTGCTGACTCACCAACATCAAAAGAAGTACATGCTGCCTATCACTGACATTTCTTACCGACATACAAACTGGACCGAAGCACTGGCAATTAATATTTCCACTCTTGTCTACCTGACATATATATCATTAGTGGTACTTCAGCTGTAGAAATGAAATTAAACTATGGAAAAAATAGGGATTTTTAAGACCCAAATCAATGACAGGTGCACTTTACTTCCAGATATGCTTATAAAGAAGAGGGAAAGACTAAGGCATTGTGTACTTTTCAGTACATACTTTTAATTACTGTTTTTGTTTTGTTTTGTTTTTCTGAAACAGGTTGAGGCAGGAGTGAGAGAGCATTCATGTCACTGCATCACTTTAAGGTCCATAAAAGAATCTGACTGACTCATATGTGGAATCTAAAAAAGCAGAACTCAAAAAAGTAGAGGATAGAACAGTGGTTATTAGCGGCTGGTTGGGGCACAGGAAGGAAGAGGAAAAGGAGAGACCTTTGTGATCATTCCACAATGTATCGATAGGTTGAAACACTACATCATAACCCACAAATACAGACCCCATAAGTTATCTTTTATCAATTAAAAATACAAGTTTAAAAAATTTTTAAACTCCACTAAAAAACTAAAGCTCTTAAGAGAATCTGATGATTATTTTGTCATTTAAGTATTTTTGGCACTCAAAATTAATATAATCTGTAAATAAAAAAAATCACAAGTAATTAGTGTGAGCCCCAAGTCTCCTACAAGCTACAATCAAACCCAAACCTTACCAAACTTTTTTAGAACCATGGACAACAACAGTTGTCAGGCTTCTGAGCCCAAGCCAAGCCATCGCATCCCCTGTGACTTGCACATATACGTCCAGATGGCCTGAAGTAACTGAAGAATCACAAA